TCACTGCACTGACCAGCTGTATAGAGAAGAATCTGGTTAAAACATCCCTGACTTTAACCAGAGTCACGAAGAAATCTGCTTCTCAGTAAAAGAAGGGCAAAGTTTATGTACTAAAAATAAAACACTACATGACATTGTAATACCATTTTAATGCTTTTAAATTATTTCAGTTTATTTAATAAATAGCCTACACTGATGTGAAACAACTTAGTGTACATGTGTGATTGCTTTTTGAGATATGTTTATTTTGGAGTTGTAGACCCACCTGGAAAAAAATCCACCAGCCGCCACTTCTATTATGGTTTGATTTCTTTGTATGTATGGATCACTTGGGTTGTTACCAACATCTGGTGAAAATTTCATGTCATTAGCACCTCTAGTAATATATTTACTGAGGAAAATGGTGACGTGTTCAATACTTATTTTACCTGCTGTATGTAAAGAAACAATGAAAGGATTTTAATGAAACAATCATTAATCATTTGTCTACAACTGATCCACCTTTAGGGTCCAGACATTTTCAGATGGCTGACACGACTAAGCAAAGTTAGAAAACATGAGTCTGATTCTAACTCCGTCATTTCTACAGATTTGAGCTGGGATCTGATCAGACTCTGAGCCTGATCAGGGACAGAACTCCATCTTTGTGTAAAACTGTCACCATGCTTTCATTCAACAGATGCTAGGCCTTTAATTAACTAGTTTTAATTACAGTTATTAAAAAAGGCTAAAATCTTACAAAACTGTAGTTTGAAGGCGCAGTATGAACATATGGATTAAACATGTTCAGATCAGAAACACAGAGAAGCAGAGGAGCCGGGGACCCCCGCCTGCCCACCATCCCCATCTGCATCTTCCTGCCTCTCAGTTCACCTAATGGAAGTGGCAATTAATTAACTCCTCTCAAAGAATGATTAAGGAGCTGACAATCAGTGGGGTGGGAGGGGCTTAAGGAGCATTTAGAGGTAATGATTTCCTGGCAGGAAAATGAAAAATAAAAAGAGTAACGGAGCAGCTGGAGTCAGGATTAGGATGGATTTCTGTCTAATCTGAACTAATCCCAGAGAAGATGAACTTTGACCCGTTCAGACTGAATATTTAAAACGAGAACGTGAGGCTTTGCTTAAAGTCATAAAAAGTATAAAATGAGCTCTTACTGTGTTTCTTTGTCCGCTGGCTCCTATTGGCCCCCTGAAGACCCCCTTGATGCTCCTCAGCTGTCCGTCACGCAGGTGGGTGGAACTGATCACGATGTAGTAGCACGCCATTGGGTGGAGTTCAGTTTCATTTAGTTCAACATCTGTCTGTGAACGACCCGTTTCTGTCCAGATGCTGTGAGAAGTCTCTGCTGCTCCTGCTGCTCCTGCTGCTGCTCCTCCTGCTCCTGCTGCTCTGTGGAGAGGAGGAGGAAGTTTCTCCTCTGCTGCTCAGATTGATTCTCTCTCTTTGCCAAGTTTCTCTAAGTTCCTGTCAGCCTCCTGTAAACATCTGAGCTGCTCCTCCTTCAGTCTCCTCTCCTGTCTTTATGGGAGGAACTCTTTCTTCTTCGTGGCGTTCAGAAATGATCTCCTCGCTCCTCTGGTTAAATGTTTCTGTTTCAGATGTTTCACAGCCATCTCTCTCTCTCTCTCTCTCTCTCTCTCTCTCTCTCTCTCTCTCTCTCTCTCTCTCTCTC